CTTTTCGACCTTAGAATTGAATAGAATAAGAGGATTATAATAGAACGTTTAAACAATTATTATATCGTGGAGAATCGTGTGTCATCGTTGGTATCATGGTCGAAGTTGCGATGTTGAATACAAATTTTTCAACAATTGCCGGTTAGAATTGATCGGCACTTGTACCATTTATCACGATAATAAGGGAAATAAAAATCGGTATGGTATTTACGCATATCCAAGAGATATCCAAAAGGTTGATACCGATAAGTGGATCGCACTTTGAACTCTTATTTATTGTTGACCAGCAACTCGTTCCACTGAATAAAACGTCGTTTGATTCGATATAATGAATTCACATTGTTGATAAAACGTCACTATTTAGCATCGTAAATGATGCATTCACTCGATTTTCATGTTATAATGTGGTAATCAAATGCAATTTGCTCTACGCGATGGAATAATAATAATTGACTCGATAAATGTTTTAACAATGAAAGAAATATAAATATTGATCTTTTAAATCGTAAATCATTTTTCAGAGAATTCATAAAAAAATAATTTAAAATTCATAAAGTTAATTTATTGACAATTACGAAGAAATACGTCAAAGATTAGTCGATTTACAAGGTTTTTAAAATTCTATTACATCGTAAAATTAATTATGGAAGTGCCACGCTGTTTTCGATGAATTTATTTCTATCTTCGATAACTTTATAACTTTATAACATTGTGTCTGTATTCGTTAAGCCGATATTGTGTCCTATATTAACCGATATCCCTTATTTCGCCTATTATTATTCATAAATTTCGAAAGTTATTTTCGTTCATATTTCAAAATTTCACTTCAGCTTTTTTATTCTTTCAGATAACTGTTTCGATACGTCACGACGTATACGTGAAAGAAAGTGAAAAGAATGACAAGCATGAGGCAGTTCGTTCGCTATGCGCGTAGACTGGGCCAGATATCAGAGAGTGGGACAAAAGTTGTAAACCGGTTCGTGAAATATGCGTCTACTCAAGCTCGACACAAATTCATAGAGGATGAAAATGGGAAAAAAATTTTCCTTTCTCCGTATGGGGATTTTACGCCTTCCGATAATCTCGTTCATGAATACATATGGAAGAATGTCGAGAGGTTCCCTAATCGCATTGCATTGGTAATATACGTGACAAAAATAATTTTTCCATTCAAATTATTTTGTCTGTATTTTATTTTGGGAAAAATATAACGTGATATCGTATAATACGATCTTGTGTGAGAATTATTATCAGTATTATTAACTCTCCGTTATTAATATAATTATTACGGCAATTAAAAAAAAATAATGTATTCGATTCGTTTTTTAGGAATGTTCGGTAACCGGGAAAAAATACACGTACGCTGAAGCGAGGGACGCGAGTAATTATATCGCGAGAAGTTTGAAGAATATGGGTTTGAAGAAAGGTGATTTGGTGGCCCTAGTAACGCCCAATTATCCGGAAACGGTTTTAGCTGCTGTCGGTGTTTTAGAAGCTGATCTTATTCTCACTACCATGAATCCTACTTACACAATCGGTAAGTAATAATTATGTGAATAATTAAAGTAAAGAAATATAAAATCGAAATATGCGTAAATATTATTTAATAATTGAACACATTTATAATAAATATTACAAATAAATATTTATAATATTTTAATGAAAAATATTCTTTAAGGAAGGAAAAAATTAAATTGTTTTTATTGTATAATGATTAATTTTTTTTTGTTTGTTGTATTAAGAAAAAACTAAATAAATGTTTGCAAGATTCGATACGTTGAATCGGCTATACGTAAGAAAATGATATATATATTTATGAAAAGAAGAAAGATAAAATAAATATTTTAAATATGATTGTAAATATTTTGAAAACAGAATACGATTTTGAAATGAGTAACAGAATAAATTAAAAATTTATTTTGAGATAAACGTTAGTAACTAGTGTATAAATATTGTGTAAAAAAATATGAATTTATTAAGAAAAATCTAATATTGTTTGTTCAAAGTTGAAATTATTTAAATTCGAATATACGAATGTAAAGTATATTCGAATATACATTTGAATATACTTTAAAATAATACATGTATAATGTTTCTTCGATAATATTATCTGGTTTATTGTAAAAATGCAAAAAGATTAAAATTATATTACATTAGAAAACAAGAATGAATCATATTCGAACAATTACTAAATTTAAAATGCTAAAAATTATTATTATTATAAGTTGTAAAAACAAATGTATTATTATTATGAATTAATATCTATATATAAAATTTTAATAATCTAACGTTCTTTTTTTGTTACTCGATAAAAAATTAATAATTCATATTTTATATATAGTTTTAATAATCTAACGTTCTTTTTTTGTTACTCGATAAAAAATTCATAATTCGTGTTTTACATATATATAGTTTTAATAATCTAACATTCTTTTTTTTTTACTCGATAAAAAATTCATAATTCATGTTTTTTATTTTTAGTAAAATATATAATTGCTCGAATAATCAATAAAATGCATTATTACATAAAATTAACATAGATGATTCATTTCAAACAGAGGAAATGAAGAAACAAATAAAGGATTGCGAGGCTATTGCGATAATCACAGCTGCAGAAATTGCACATATTGTACTTGAAGCGAGGAAAAATACTTCCGCGTCACGAGGACCCTTCGTGGTTATCGAGGATGGTATTAGATCTATTCCCGAAGGCAGTGTGCCGTTTAAGGTATGAATTATTAAATAATAACTCGAGATGAGTGAATATTTAATGTTAATGTGTGATTATTATTCCTTTTTTATAGGATCTTATCACACGAGGTAAAACATTACCGCCTATAACGCATCATCAAATGACCTCGAATGATCTAGCCATCTTGCCATATTCCAGTGGAACGACTGGCATGCCGAAAGGTGTCATGTTGACGCACAAGAATTTAGTAAGTAACATGGAAATGGTGGAATATTCGGCGGAAGAAAGAATGTGGCGACATACAACTGGTGAATATATAATAATTTAACACGTTTAAATTAAATCATTAAGATTTAATTAAGGTATCGAGCCCCCGTTAACAAGATCGATCGTTTATTTCCAGCCGATTTTCAAGAGGTACTACCCCTAATTATACCCTTCTTCCATATTTTCGGATTGAATGCCGCGACCCTGCCTCGTCTCCATAACGGTACAAAAATAATAACTCTTCCAAAGTTCACGCCGGAAATATTCGTGGACGTTTTAATGAAACATAAAGTAAGTAAATTTCGTTCGTAGGTATTCTTCGTAGAAATATTGAGAAAATTGTTGTTTTGTTCACGCAGATAACAGGTTTATTCGCAGTACCATCTTTGATCACGTTTATAAATATCTGCCCTTTGCTTAAAAAGGAGATTTTCGAAAATACACATCACATTATCACCGGGGCGACACCATTACCGGCGGTGGATGTAGAGAAATTTTACGAAAGATATCAGATAAACAGCGATAACTTGAAATTCTCTCAAGGTAATGGGGAATCGAATTTTAATTTAAATTTTTTTTTCTAGAATTTCTATGAAGTTACATGATTGTAAAAATTGAAGAAAATAAAAATTATTATTATTTTTTTTTTCCTCCCCTCTCTTCACAAGGATACGGGATGACGGAAACTTCACCCGTGATTTGCTTAGACACGTGGAGTCGAAAGTCAGCAAGTATCGGGCAAAACATTGCCGGTTGCGAATTACGATTAGTCGATTCAGCAACGAACGAGGATATTTCTATAGCTGGTCAAAAGGGAGAAATATGGGCCAGGGGGCCTCATATCATGAAAGGATATTTAAACAACGAGAAAGCGACGAGAGAGATGATTGTCGATGGTTGGCTGAAAACTGGGGACGTTGGTTATTTCGACGACGAGTTTTATTTCTTCGTCACGGATAGGAAGAAAGATTTGATCAAAGTTAAAGGATTCCAGGTAAATAGATCAATATTAATTATTAATTATTAATAATTTTTTAATCGGACGAATCCATTCAAAAGCTTTTAATTATTTATTATTTATTGAATGTTATCGTGCACAAGCTTGGAATTTAACAAATTTTATCACATTGTATTTGTAGAAAAAATGTTATGTATTGATCTTGCAATCGCAGTTTCATAATTCAATTTAGTATCACGTAATCTTATTCAGTACGTAAAGCATATATTCCATATTTCCATAATTTGTATCAGTTTATATAGTTGGTAAATGTTAGAATTTATCCGTGAAATATCAATGTGTAATTAATTTAATAGTTTCTTTTTTTCTATTTTTTTTTTTAATTTCATCTCTTCGAAATTTTACATCAGGTACCACCAGCCGAATTGGAAGCTTTGATAAAAAGACATCCAAATGTTGTGGAGGCAGCTGTGATTGGTATTCCAAACGAAAGGTTCGGCGAGATACCTAAAGCTTTTGTAATTCTCAAGGAAGGTACCAAGGCGACGGATGACGATATCAAAAATTTCGTAAAAGACAAAGTGTCGGAATATAAGCAACTCAGAGGTAAAACAATTTTTTTTTTTCAATTATAGTTGTCATTTATTTTATATTTTTACAACGACTTAGAGTTATTATATGATATAAAATATATGAAATAATGATGATACGATAAATCGCACGAATCAAGTCCATAATCTGGCGATAAATAATAAAAAAGATAATTTTTTATCTTCGGTAATTTAATTTTTAATTATTATTTTTAATTATTATAACGAATTATATAGTTTAACGAATAATTCAACGTTTATTAAATTTATCGAGTGCTGTTATATTATGCACATATCTTGTATTACGTATGATCTTTGATCTAATAATCTATAAATTATTTCAGAATATTAATATTTGCATATAATAAATTTTTTTTGTTATATGTTTATTTTATTTATATATATATATATATATATAGATTAATCATACATAGAAATTCACTATTATCTTTTTATGATCGTAATTAAATATTTTATCGCGTAACACAATGTGATTTAATGATTGTAGGAGGAGTGACATTTGTTGACAGTATACCAAAGAACGCAAGCGGAAAAATTTTACGAAACCAATTGAGAAACGAGCACAAATAGTAAAAGTTTGTGCTCAAGAGTGAAGAAGAAAATTTCACGCTTCGAGGCCTCGATTTACAGTTCGTACCATAATGGAATCAATTATCGATTAAGAACAGAGTAGGATTAATCATTTCTATATCGATTGGCATAATGGTATATGAGTCATCCAACTATTATATTGATATGGTAAAAGATATGTTAATAACGTTTATTCACTTGTTTTGTGTATAATATTGTTATCTCATAAGTGCCTTACAAGTATCTTATTGATTACGATAATTTTTAATATTTTTACATTTATATATATATATATACATATCTATTTTAAAATAATGGGTTTAGTAAACATATATAAATACGATGTACTTATTAGAATAACGGGAATAACGCGGTTAAAATAACGTGATTACGAAGTGCATTTTTAAAATTATACGTATATCTTTTTACTTTTAATGTCATTTAATATACGCAAATATTATCAGTTTATTGTTGTGCAATATTTGACAATGCAATTAATTTTTAAGATTATTTTTAGATATTAAATTTTATCGATTTTTATAGAACATTTGTACAAGAAAGTTACAGGGATTTTAAACTTTTAAACAATAAAATCTTTTATAGTTTTATAGTTGTGTTATAAATAATTGCACACTTTCCAACAAGCATGTCCGATTATTTAAAATTCAATTCATCTTTACATTCGTTTTAAATAATTAATTAATCACTATTGATTTATTTTGAACATTATATATGTTAATTTGTCTTCGTATCGTTCATATCATCCCGATTTCGATTGAAAATCTCGAAATCGGTCAATTGAACAATCATATTTACACCATAAATTATTTTATTTATACATCATTAATAACTAATTTTGTTTCGCATTTTCATTCGATTAGATATTTATCAGACACTTTATAAGACTAATTTTTTCTTTAATTATATTTTATAATTTATAGTCGAAATAGATGAAGATATCGCAAGATTGTAAATTTTTATTATATTATTATCATGAACAAGAATTAATTAAATTGCAATCAGCCAATAAAATAGATAAAAAAAAGTTATCAGGCGATATTTTTTAATTTTAAATTCAAATGAACGATATCTATATACAACTTCACATGTAGATAATTTCAACTATTACAACTATATCCATGAAACGGGCATGAAACTTATGTCATTCCACTGCTAATCATTCTCATTTCATTTAAAATTGCAAAATAAATTTGCTAGCGAAAAATATAATAAATAAATTTCCACAGATACTTTTCCATCTTTCCAACATTATTTCATTCTCCACGATCGCTCTTTAAATCGCTCTTCCTTATTTACTACTTCGTCACCATATTGCGATAACTTGTATCACGATAAAGTTAATTCCACTCGAACGATACGTGATCCGCTGTTCTCGAGATCTGAATGCCCGTTCTCTTATTTGTTCCTTATTACGCATTCCGTGCGAATTCTACGATAATCACCAATGCATTCCACCGTCTTCCCGCCATTTCGAAAACGTTCGAATTAAGCGTGCGAATTTCCGCGAGGTTGCCTGCATGCCCGTCATTTAATTCCCTTCGAGGCCGCTACCACCATTGTTACCATTCGTTTCCCCAAATGCGCCCAATCGAGGAGTCTCGCTTTCGAGCTTTCCTTTCGAGCCTTGCCTTCGTGCCAGGGTGAAACAGGGTGAAACAGGTGAAGGTGGCCGGGCTCGAATCGATGCTTGGAACAAGCGAGAAGGAGGAGGAGGAGGGGAGGGGGATGAAGGGTCGAATGGAAACAGACAGAGCTGCTTTCCACCCCTAAACGCGTGGCTTTGAGTGCGTGCTTCAATCCCTCGGGGGAAAAGAGATGAACTGTGCTTAATCCTGTTCGTCGGATAGAAATGCATTCAACAGGGGTAAACTGTAGAAGCGAGCTGACGAAGCCAATCTCTTATATTTACTTTAAACGAGAGAAAGATATTCGAGGGACGAGGAATTAGAAGAAGAGGTAGGTGGAGGTATATGTAATAAAGTGAACGATGTAGTTAGTGTTTGTTTATTACAATTTTTTTTTCTTTTTTATTATGTTTGATAGGGTTTACCTGTTGATCTCGTTGTTGGAACGAAGATATATTAATAAATTGGTATACGTTACATTGGAATCAAGAAACGGAAAATCTATCTCGAATTGTAAATTTTATCCAATTGCTTCATTCCATTCGAAAGGAATTTTATTCTATTACAGTTTTAAAATTTCCAAGCGTATTCTTACACTTTGTTCGCCTGTCCTTTAATTATTTCGATTATTTTTGAACTTGTAAATTATACAAAAAAATGACAAAATAACGATTCTTTCTCCCCTTCTTTCTATCGTTTAAAATTCTAATCACTGTTTATCATATATTCTTTTTCATCAAAAATATTTCTTCCATACATTTTTATAGTACGTATACACGATCCAAATTTATGACCAGTATATCCCAGTATATTTCTATTTTTATCTTTCCTTTCCTTTCTTATGGCAAACATTTCCATCCGAGGAAATGAAGTTTTTCGAGACAAGTGACAAGCACAAAGTTGTCGTACGCCCTATCCTGGATCCGTAAAGTTCCTTTCGATTGGAAACGTTCATCGGTGGAAACCCCCCGTCGCGTAAACGTTGGGAATTTATTTCACGGGCGCGTTCAGTTTTCCAAGCGATTCACCGGCACGGTTCGCGTTCGTATAGAAAATAGTGTTGCCCGGGCGGAAATGGACGCAAACAAATCAATTGGTTTTCCGAATGAAATCAAACAAGCGCGCGAGACATTCCACCCCATCGACGACCGACCACCCTCCTCCTTGTTTCTCTTTTCCACGCCGCCTCGCTGGCGAGGAGAGAAGTTGGAAAATGAAAAATAGGGGCAGAGGAGGCTGCACCGTCGTGACACCCATTTTTTTTTCCACTGTTTCTCGCGTTGCCACTCCTCCTCTTCTTCTTCTTCTTCTTCTTCTTCTTCTTCTTCTTCTTCTTCTTCTTCTTCTTC